CCCTAACAACCCTTCTATTCTGCGCTAGAGCTAGTTTTATGAATGGGTCGGGTATAGGGTGTCACCCAGGGAAAGCCAAAAGCAGCTTTGTGCCTTTCAGAATTCAGTGAGCCATTAATTCACACATTACTGCAATTCGCTGCCCTCCGGCAATTCAAAGACTCCAGACTGTGCTGGAATCTCAGGATCCCCCTCCAGAGGAACAAAAGGCACCACAAGAAGTGAACAGTTCTCCCATTCTACCTTCTCTCTCACCAGAGCAAAACGCTTCACAGGGGCATACACGGTTTCATACAAACATTAGCATCTCTGTAGGATTAAATCTACACTATATTGAGCACCATTCTAAAAGCAGAATCTGTTTACTCACAGAAAGGAATTTCTCTTCTACTCTGGAGATCTCAAATAGCTTTAGGGCCACACCAGAGGCTCAGTGACGTTTTCTATTTGCCGAAGAAGTATCAGTGGCAGGAGCCCACACTGCGTTTCTGCTAGTCCTGACAGGACATCAAGACACTATCCATAGGACAAAAGTAGCGACTCTGATGTACTCACACATGATCTTTAGAATAAAAATGGAAAATAGTGGTAAAGAAAACTTATTTTGCTATTTACAAAAAAAAATTCTTATTTGAAATGAATTATATAGCTGAGTATAAATAATATAGAAAAGAAGATGAAAGTACAGGTAGTATTTTTTCTAATTTTTAAATGTATAAGAATAATGGCAATGCAAAAATTGTAAAAGGAAGACAGACAAATTTAATCTTTCAGACATCACAGAAGATGGATGGCTTCAGGTCTTCTTTTGAAAGTCAGGATGACATCCTGTATCACTTAAAACTATTCCCTAATGAGAGGAACTCAGAGAAGGGCAGGAGGGCAGGTACAAAGCAGTTACAGCATGCGTTTGTAAGAAGGGTGCAGCTGCCTACAACTCTGGGTAAAATGGAAAAATGCCTGGGGACGCCTGGGTGGCTCAGTCAGTTAAGTGTCTGACTCTTGATTTGGGCTCAGGTGGTGATCTCACGTTTCCTGAGATGGAGCCTGAGCCAGGCATCGAGCTCTGTGCTAATGTGGAGTCTGCTTAGGATTCTCCCTCTCCCCTCCCCCCCCCCCCCCCCCCCCGCCCCACTCTCTGCCCTCCCCTGCTCACAACTCCCACCTCTCTCTCAAATCAATAAACTTAAAAAAAGAGAGAAAAATGCCTCAGTCAGCAAGAATCCAACCCAACATCACTAATCATTTTTACTTTCTTGCCAAAACTAAACTAAGCTAAACTTAAACACGCTACCCTGGTCTTTAAAATGAAACAGAGCTATTTTCTTCCATAATCTCTCTTCCCAGATTGGGCTTTTTTTTTTTTTTTTTCCTTTTTCTTTTGTAGAGTTACATTAAGAATCCCAACCAAGAGCCTTCTTCTGGGGCTATTCTTAAGTGAGTTGTGATTACTGTTTCCTGAAAGTCTTTCCTTTGATTTCTGTGAGATTTGGAAGGACTGAGGTCACTCGATTTTCCCACAGTCGTCATAAAAAACCAATACCAAAAATGCTCACATTTCATTAAACGTGACAGCTCCTTCCTGCCCCACAGCTCAGTGAAATACCCCAACAGCTTAAAGGGAAGCAGGCCCCTCCTTGCAGTTGCCTGGGCTGGGATTACAGAGAGGGCTCCTGGCTTTGTGGAAATTTATGTCATTCCAGAGAAGTCGACATTGCTTCCATCAACATAAAAGATGCAGCTGATTAATTTCAGGGAGGCTGCAGTTTCTTTTATGGCAAACACAAAGTGTTCAATACAGCCCGATGACCCAGAGTACATGTTAAGAGCTTGTTGTAGCCAATAAATGCAGTTAATTAAAAAAAAATCGATGCCAATTTCTCCAACACCTCCTCTTTTACAAAGGGAATATATTTTCTTCTCGTAGCCAATACAGGGTGAGAAGGATTCAAGCAGCACTGCCTCACTCTTCCAACCCTACAGTTCTCTGCAGTGACTGAAAACAGGAAAATGCCATTGCTCTGTGGGCCGCAAAGACACCACTCCCTGCCTTTGCTTCCCAGCTCCCAGGGCAATCACTCGCTGCTTCTCTCCACCCAACTGAAACCACTTTCTCTAAGTCTAAAGGACACTTAACACCTTCTGGTGACTAAATACAAGAGCCCCTCCAATTAAAAAGAAAAAAATCTCCACTCAAACCACCCTCTCCACCAGCTGCCTGGCCTTTCTTCCTTCTCCTTCACAGCTTAACTCCTCCTTTTTTTTTCTTTTGAGACACACACACACACACACACACACACACACACACACACACACACACAGAGGGAGCGTGAGCAGGGGAGGGGCAGAGGGAGACTGAGAGGGGGAGAGAGGAAAAGAGAGAGGGGGAGAGAGACAGAATCTCAAACAGACTCCACGCTCAGCACAGAGCCCAACATGGGGGCTGGATCCCATGACCCTGGGATCATGACCCAAGCAGAAGATGCTCAAATGACTAAGCCACCCAGGCACCCCCACTGCTTAACTCCTTGAGACAGTTGCTGCTGCCACTCCATCACCCACCCCTCACACAATGCCCCAACCCGCTTCAACCTGACTTCAAGGCCATCATGCCAGTGAAATAGTTCTCACTAAGGCGCCCATGAGAAACAGTGCTCAGTCCCCTTCAGTCTTAACCTCCCAAGCCAGGAGCAGAAAGGATGCATTTCTAAAGGGAGCTATAAATAAGGGGGTGATACCTCCACCCCATCCTGGGATTCCTAAGAGATGGAGAACTGGAGGCTCCCAGCAACTACCTCCCCCCAACATCTCTACCCTCCAGCTCCCAAACTGGGAGGAGCATAAAGGAAGGAACTCAGAGTCTTCAAATTCTTGACTTGGTGCAGAGTGTATCATGGCCATGGGGGAAGGGGGTGGAATGAGGAGACTTCATCAGAGACTGGGCACTCCTGCAAGAAGGGGAGACTGACCCCCTCATTCCCCAAGTGGATACACAACAAACATGTTGATTTGCTCTGCCCTTACCAGAGCAAAGGAAAGGACAACTGCAGAGAGATGTCAGGGCAGAAAGAAGCCTTACCCCCTACTTCTGCTTGGTTCACAGAACACTAAGGGGACTAGTTAGAGCATCTCACCAGTACCACCCAAAAGGGCCAACCGCCAGGACAAAGGGACCCCAGCACCAGTTACATTAGAAACACTGAACTTCCCCCTTACCCTCCTCCCCACCCAACATAGGAAATGCGGTTGGGTCCCAGAAGAAGGAAAGGCAGGAGGGGTCCCAGAGGCAGACCACCCTTCCCCCCACCTCAAGGCCCCTCACACCATGAGCCTGGCAAGTGATAAGCTCAGGGAAAGCTTTAAATCAAATGCCTGTTTTTCTCATAGTGGTATTCCCAGACATATCCAAGTACGTGGCCCATGACAGGATTAATAATTCTTTGTTGAATAAGTGGCTGAACAGTTTCTTCTTAATCCTTGCCCTCCTTGTCCTTTCTGCCTCATTTTGTTCATTCACTCGAAGCACAAATGTTTGTTGAAGGTTGACTCTACAATCTAATCACAGAAAGGCGACTAAGACACATTCCCTGCCCTCAAGAAAGTTAGTAGAGAAAATAAAGTACAAACTTGCATCTGCCACAAGGATCAGGTGAACAGTGGCATGGTAGCAGGACAAAGTACCAAAGACACTAACTCAAAAATCCAAACCACTCCTGGAAGTGTACCCAGACTGCTTTTATCAGCGTACACATGGAATCCTCATGCCTGCCTTTTCGGTGAACTCTGGTCTTTCATCCCTCCTGCTGTAATGCATTTACCCTTTAATGCATCAAGGGTAGTAGTTAACACACTACCATCTATGTGTGATATCCTGGAGAATGCTAGGGAAATCTATATTCCTTGGGCCTAGGGTGGGCCAAAAAGATTTCAATGCACACCTTTGGATGAGGCCCTGGAGAAATGATGAGGTGTGGGTGGCCTTTCTTGGAACACCACTGTATGTGATGCAGCACGAAGGAAATGTTGTGGGTTTAGGATAAAGGCGATGCCAATGACGCACGTTTCCCTTCAGACAGCATCTTACCCACACAAAGACGGCCCTGCATGGTGGCGAGCTGAACCACTGTAACACCTACCCAGAAAATCACATGGGATTTATAACTGTGTATTAGCAGACTCTTAGAATTAGCATTTACAGTCTCCTATTTGCAGAAAGCAAATCACTCTACATAATTTCTAGTTCCCTTGTAATCACTAGCTTACAGTCCTTCGGAAACCATTATTGCTTCTCACGTGCCTTTCTGACAAGCGTTTTTTATGACCATTTTTCACCGTTATTAGAATAATACATGCCCAATACAAAAAATCTAGAAAATACAGCAAAGTTGACAGCATAAAAATATGCAAATTTTTACCAGCCCTGTTAATATTCTGGTATATTTCCATTTAACCTCTGTTTGATTTAATAGCTATTTGGAATTAATATGCCCCATAAGCCACTCTGGTAAAAATCACCAATAAACTTAGGATATAAACTGCCATCTGTAATCTCTTCCAATTATGAACGAGGTTGTATCTGCATGACTATAAAACAACCAGTAGATTCAACTTTAAAAGCTTAAATTCAATGGAGGGAAAATTGGTGAAGTGGGTTGTTTAAGGTATGAAGGCAAGCTGACTCTCTTCATTTCTCTATTTGTCTTCCCAGCAGCCCAGCACTTGGAACAAGTTTGCCCATGCTTTTGGGAAACTACCACTTTAGCTATAAACCGCTTTACACAGAAGTTCCTCTGACTGTTTAAAAAAAGGATAATTTTGCGTGCAATTCTTGGAGGCCCAAAACACCGTAATGTTAGCAGTGTGTGGGGTTTTTTTTTTTTTTGACAAGTATACAATTGCCATTATTTAACAAGATATTTAAAAAGGATTGTATTTTCATCTCAGTCTTCCATAATAGACATGCTATGCAATGATATCTAGAATTAAAATGATGGGCTTACCTGATTAAGAAATCATGCAGTCCAACGTCAAAATACCTGTTCAAAGAAGACACAGACAAGTATATCAGTAAAAGAAATGCGCAGCAACAGCAGACTTGACCAAAAACATGTAAATTGCATTCAGAGCACGGTGAATAAATCAATCACTCTGTAACAGTGGTTCTCAAAGTATAGCCCCTGGAGTGGGGCCATTACAGCAGCATTACCTGGGAACTTGCTGGACATGCGAATTCTCAGGCCCTACCTCAGGCATACTGATTCAGACACTCTGGGGATGGGGCTCAGCAATTAGATTTGACAAGCCCTCCAGGCAATTCTGATGCAGAACCACTGCTCTATGATAGCAAAAGTGTCTCAGCAAGTCTACGCTTTTTCTCTAGAAAAAAAAAAAGCCACAGGGTAGATTTTGTCACTTTGCCAGTAGGTGAGTCCTTTTATCACACTAGTGTGTTAGATGTTTACTTGCTCAAAAATAAATGAAATTATGTTTTACGAGTACAAAACCATTGGGGCCAAAGGTAAGAACAGGGGGTGGGGAAGCGTCAACCCTGTCCTTCCATGCTCCTCCCAGCTGCAGTCCCCAGAGCATTTTTTTTTTAAATTTTTTGATGTGTGTTTATTTTTGAGAGACAGAGAGAGACGGAGTGTGAGGAGGGGAGAGGCAGAGAGAGAGGGATACCCAGAATCCTAAGCAGGCTCCAGGCTCTGAGCTGTCAGCACAGAACCCAACACGGGGATCGAATTCACAAGTTGCGAGGTCACGACCTGAGCCAAAGTCAGATGCTTAATGGATGGAGCCACCCAGGTGCCCCTGTCCCTGGAGCTTTTTACCAAAGAGCAGCCCTGTCCATAGCTGGGTCTGCCCTGGGAGGGAAGAGAGTAGAGCAGCTCCATGCACTTGCTGGTGAGCCTGCCCTTGTGCCTGGGCCTCTCACCAGGCACCTCCCACCAGTAAGTCCTGGGCAGTGGTGGACCCTTTCACATACAACTTCCCCTGACACCCCCAAATGGGCTGAGTCCATATGAATGGCACTGCCTTGGTTTCTCTACCACATTTGTTCCCCCTACACCTCTAACCACTTAACCAGTGTCCTTCTCTCACCTTTGGGTCTGGTTGTGAGTAAAAAGGCTTGGTGGCCGGAACCGTGATGCTGCTGTCCACCACACATAACCACTACTCCTAACACCTAGAAGGTGGTCACTGTGTCCCACCCAACAGACTGGCCTCCCAGGTTAGCGGAGTAAAGCCTGCCAGAGTAAAGCCTGAGTTACTTCTGTCCCTACAGACAATGAGCAAGAGAAACAGAAATCCCCCCTAGAGTGGGGTCCGACTGCCCAGGCCCTGACTGTCCCTAGGTTCCAGCTCCACCCCTGCCCCATTTCTGGAACATTCCAGCATGCCTGGAACCTCACCTCACCTGACATCTAGCAGATGCTTACTGACATTAAAGTAGGATGCCTTTGGGTACCTTTAAATGGCAAGCTTCCTTTGTGTACTGAAGCATCTGTTTACAGGTCAATGGACAGAGTAGGTAGAAGAGAGCAACAAAGTTCACTGGATCACTTACCTGAAGTCATTACACGATTCAAGGAAGATACGTAAGTCTTCTGAAAAGAGCTCTAAAGGGAGATGTCCCTGCAGGATTAGCTGATTTGCTTCAGTTGATATTACACTGACCTGAGATGCTAAGTTCTGCCTACAATCATATTTAATGCAAATTAAAAAAAAAAAAAACTGAAATGATCCCTCCTCTCAACCCAAACCAAGGCCATGTTCCTCGGCCACATAAGTAAATATTCATATGACAGATAGCAATTTTAAGATCTCCAGGATCTGCAACGTGGGAGATACAAGTTTGTATAGATTAGAACAAAGATCTCAGCTTCCTTCACTCATCCAAAACCTATTCAGCCCTTTCAATTACATCAGCTACATAAAGCATCAGACTCTGTTGCAGGAATCATAGCATCAAATAGACAGAGGGGATCAGAAAGGACCACAATATGGTGGTGAGGTAGGTGAAGGAAGATTCTGAGGGAGTAATGAACCACCTAATAATATTCACAGAAATGACTATGAAGTATTTAGAAGGTGGCAACTACTGTATGGTGCCCACATACACAAGCCATTGCTGGTGAGGCCAGGGATTGGCATCTCCATTCATCAGTGCAGGGAACTAAAGTGGAGAGGCTAAATAACCTGCAGAGTTCACAGCTAGTAGAGGACAAATCTGGGAGTCAAACTGGGCCCTAAAAGCCATGAATTGCTTACTCTTCCCACTAAAAGCATAGGCTCTCACTGCCTCTCATTATTAATAATTGAAATTCTTCATTCTAAGAACCGGTCCCTTTCCACCTCCTCTGATTTCTGGTTTTCCCACCATGGTTGCCCGGCCCCAGGCAAGCCCACCTCCTGCCTCCCTGGGCACAGCTGCCCTACAAGTGCCATCTATCTCCCTGAGTCTTAGAATCAAGTCAGGTTCTGGGAAGTTATATACCTTCTCTAGGCTGCAGCTTCTCTGTGGGAAAATGGATAGCCCTTATTCATGGAGGGTTATGAGAATTAGGTGATAAGCAAAAATACAGTGCTTAGCACAGTGCTTGGTATACTGTGAGTACTCAATAAATAGTAATCTCCTTCCCTCCAATTTTTAAGAGAAGTTGTGGTTTATATATACAATGGAATACTACTTGGCAATGAGAAAGAATGAAATATGGCCCTCTGTAGCAACGTGGATGGAATTGAAGAGTGTTATGCTAAGTGAAATAAGTCATACAGAGAAAGACAGATACCATATGTTTTCACTATTATGTGGATCCTGAGAAACTTAACAGAAGACCATAGGGGAGGGGAAGGAAAAAAAAAAGTTACAGAGAGGGAAGGAGGCAAACCATGAAAGACTCTTAAAAACTGAAAATAAACTGAGGGTTGATGGGGGGTGGGAGGGGAAGTGGGTGATGGGCATTGAGGAGGGTACCTGTTGGGATGAGCACTGGGTGTTGTATGGAAACCAATTTGACAATAAATTTCATATTAAAAAAATAAAAAAGAAGAAAGAAAGAGAGAGAGAAAGAGAAAGAGTTGTTTTAATGGAAGCCCAATAGTAGGAGAAGGAAGCCACATCGAAAGGACATAACAGATCTCATTATACAGCCCAGAAAGACAGGTGAGGTGATCCAGGGCACAGGGAGGGCCTGAACAGTAGGGTAGAGGGTAGTACAGCTGGAGAGCTGAGGGACAGGGACAGAACTCAGGAAACAGGCAAGGGAGCAGGAAGACCAATTATTCTATGGAGGCCTCATAGGGAGCCTTGAAGTTGGATGTGAGAGCCGGCGGGGAGTGCAGGGGAGCGGGGTCTTGCCACCAGGCAGGGAAGGCATCATCCTATCCTGCCTGCCCTGGCCCTGACTGGCATCTCACTAAGAAGTGCCAGCACACACTGGTGCATGCCCAGCTTCACCTGCCACCACGGTATCCTCTAAAATCTAGGGCCTAAATGTACAGAAGTCAGTGATTGTGACACATGGTGTTTCAGAACATTTCTTCTTGTGCATGTGTGGCTGGTCACGGATGGAATTTGGGGCTGGGACAAGTGGGTGTCTTTAAGCATCCTGTGATAGGCAGGCTTGGGAGGAGCTGACAGTCACTTGGAAACAAATGGAATGAAGAAGGTCAATGGGGATTGGCAACATAAAATGTACCACGAAAAATGTAAGGGGAAGAAAACAGAATTTCCTCACAGGTATTCATGTCTTACTCTTTCGCTACATCAATTCATCTGTGTTGATATTCATTCATTCATTCATTCATTCATTCATTCAACCAAGAGATATTTTGTCAGAGCCTTCTGTGTGCCTGGCGCTGCTCCAGCCCTGAGGACATGGGCGACAATAACACAACAAGGGCCCCACCACGCACGGCACCCACGTCTTAGGTGGAAGGGGTGAACAGTAAGTAAGCCCTCCATAAAGAAGAGAACACCAGAGGCAGAGAACTCACACAGGTGACAGGACAGAGGGGTGGACCACACAGCTGCTCAGGGAAGTCCTCTCTGGCCAGGTGACATCCGGGTTGAGATCTGTATGGTCAGAAAGGGCGAGCAATGCCAAGACCAGAGGAAGAGTGTTCCAGGCAGCAGGACATGCGGGAAAAGCCCCAAGGTGGGAAGGAATGCGGCAGGATGGAGGAAAGGAAGAAGCCAGCATGACTGGGACAAGCTGAAGTGGGGGAGGGAGGCAGGGAGGAGATCTGAAAAGGCTGTACCTAAGGGTTAGGGCTTCATTCCAACATCCATGGGAAGCACAGAGGGTCTTTACCAGGGGAATGCTATTTTTTTCATTTGTTTAAATTTCATTCATTTAGGGGTGTGCTTTGATTTATCTGTGTATGAAAAGAATACTCTGGGTGTCCTGAAGAGAAAGGATGGGGACAGAAGCAGGGCAGGGAGCCGCTGCAGTCTAGGTGACAGGTGACGGGGACTCACCCCAGATGCAAACACTGGAAACAGAGCGGAGACACGGGGATGGATTCAGACATGATTCTGTGGACATGCTCTTTGAGGGAGGGAGGGAAGGAGGGACAGAGGCGAAAAAGTAATCTGCAAAACAACAGAGGGCCTCACAGCCCGCAGTTCCACACCAAGCAACTGGTGGCTCAGCCAGGCCGTGGCTGCTTCTGGAAGCTCCACAGGAATGCTTGGTGGCCCGCATCCAGACCAATGGAATGACAATGTTCTGTGACTGGTTTAATTTGGAGAATTGCTCCCCTGCTGGAAGAACTGTAAATTATGGCAATGGTTTGGGATCTTTTTAATGAATGTATTGTGGTAGAATACACACAACATAAAACTTCCATTTTAACCATTTCTTAAGTGTACAACTCAGTGGCATTAAGTACACTCACACTGTTGTGCAAACACCACCACCGCCCACATCCAGAACTTTTTCAACCTTCCACTCCTCTTTACCATGGTAAGGCTGATTTGGGGTCTTTCCAAAGGGTTCAGGGGTGCCCCCTCACATGGGGCTGTGTCTTT